CAAACACCCCCCCCCCCCTATGTAGCTGGGCCAGACAGTTTCGGCCCAGTGGTTTTTTTTGGTTCTGCGAATTTGATATTTAACCAGGGATTTACAGATTTGCAGACAAACCCCTAAGCTCCATGCATATCATAGCTCACCAACCGTGCATCTTTTGTAAAAACTTAATATATGAAACTTGCTTAGAATTTTGTGTAGATTAACAATTTGCAACTTTCATCCATGTTAAAAATATTTAAAATGCTGTTTGGTTAAATTTGCTCCTATGCCATGAAAAAATGCTTTAATTCATAACTAAATAACCGTAACTCCGAATTTAATAAACTTTATATGTAAATGGGGTAGAAAAATTCCTAGTTTAACATGGTGGCCTTACTTTGCATGTTTAACAACTCTAAAATTGTGTTTAGGGCAGATCAGTACCATAACCAAAATATGCACATGAGGATTTTTCCGGACTTGTTGTTTGTTGTTCCGGCCTCATTTAAACTTGTCTAGATAGATAGTTTCATTATGCTTCACCTCTTGCCATGCTAACAACATTTAATATTGTTGAGTACCTAAACGAGAGAGAACTAAATAAGTCATGTGGTGTTTTCTTCAATATGCAACTCCGCGGCATATTGTGCTCCACTTAATTTGTAGGTTTGTTTGTGCACTTTGCCATGCCATGCTTCATTAAACCGGACATGCATCATACTTGATTGTGCATCATGCCATGTTCATGTGTTGGTTGTTTACTATGTTGTGTGCTTCTTTCCGGTGTTGCTTCTTCGGGTTGGTTCCGATAATGTTGCGTTTGTGAGGATCCGTTCGACAACGTCCGTTTGTCTTCTTCATGGACTCGTTCTTCTTCCTTGCGGGATCTCGGGCAAGATGACCATACCCTCGAAATCACTTATATCTTTGCTTGCTAGTTGCTCACTCTTTTGCTATGCCTATGCTGCGATACCTACCACTTGCTTATCATGCCCCCATATTGTTAAGCCAAGCCTCTAACCCACCTTGTCCTAGCAAACCGTTGTTTGGCTATGTTACCGCTTTGCTCAACCCCTCTTATAGCGTTGTTAGTTGCAGGTGAAGATTGGAGTTTGTTCCTTGTTGGAACTTGGTCATTATGTTGGGATATCACAATATCTCTTATTTAATTAATGCATCTATATACTTGGTAAAGGGTGGAAGGCTCGGCCTTATGCCTGGTGTTTTTGTTCCACTCTTGCCGCCCTAGTTTCTGTCATATCGGTGTTATGTTCCCGGATTTTGCGTTCCTTACACGGTTGGGTTATAATGGGAACCCTTTGACAGTTTGCTTTGAATAAAACTCCTCCCGCAAGGCCCAACATTGGTTTTACCATTTGTCACCTAGCCCTTTTCTTTTCCCTTGGGAGTCG